GAAGTTTAGAGGATGAACAATTAATTTTCAGATTGCCAGCAGATCTTTGGAAATGATAGTATATCGAGGGGTTCATTGTTTATTAAAATATTTGTAGCTCACACATGGAACACTAAATCAAAAACTGATGTTATGATTGTAAAGATCAAATCTCAAAAATCTGGTTCATTTTCTGTCCAGTACAAACTAGACTCCAAATTTCTATTTTATATGTTTTCTGTTTAACTTAAAACAGTGTTTCCAGTGATATGTTGGAAGTGAGAAAACTTCTAAAAATTAGAAAAAAAAAATCAGTTTTGATAGACATATTGTATCATGCAATAAGTGATGTACAATTTTTAAATTTATATTTTCAAAGTCTTCTGGTGTCAAACCTCAAGCAAAGACATCATCCAAAAGATAATTCACAGGATTCAAAAAGTAATTTGCCATTATATGCTTTTCTTAGGTTTGACATATTGTTAATAATACAGCATTCATTCTCTAGTGAGCTGAAGTATCACATTTCTTTAAACCAGACAGGTTTAAACTGGTTCGATTGGCAATTGGAAGGGTACATTCCTGAGGTCACCCTATTCCCATTCATCATAATTTCTGGAATGTTGTTTACTGTTGACAGATTCATGTCCATCTTTCACACAACTCAATGTCTCAAGTTTCGGTTAGGTTTCTGTCCTTGTTGTAATACTGAAAGCACCTTTATCCAACTCACAAATGACATCCTATGATTTTCAAAAAGTTTCTCTTCCAACATTCAATTAAAAGGATTGCTGTGGCGTTTTTCCCCATTCCTATTAATCTAGTCATGGTCAGAACAACAACAATTATGGTTGATCTCCACATTGCTGAACCATTACCTCTGGTGTCTCAGAAGGATCTACTCTTTAGGCCACCTTGCTCCCATTCCACATCTACATGCTTCCAACCAAGCTAACACCTACTATCAGGTACTAAATGCACATTGATGACTCTCTGCTTTACCACACTGCCAATGCTATCAATTCCTTCACTGCCTCTAACCTGATACACTGCTGACCTAACATGAGCAGAGTGATACTACAAAGATAAAAAACACTTCAATTTAAGTGTTACTATTACTGGAGAAAGGGGAAGAGGCTCTTTTGGGATGGATTCCAGTTAAACTAGACTGGTTCTTGAGTATTGACAAAGGAATAACTAGAGAAGTAGAATGGGCTATAATGCAGTCCAGCATAATGAGGGGTGGTAAGGGAATGCAGGGGAAAAAGTCTATTTAAAAGCAGTAAGATTTCAAGGCTATGAAGCAGAGTGATAATCTGGATAAACTAAGCCAAATAGGGCAGGAAGGAACACAGTTTAACAATTTTAGAGACTTTAGGGTGACATCAGAAAAAAAAATGAAAAAAAAAACTAAATGTGCAAAGCATTCACAACAGAATAGATTGGTTGAGGTGACAGCGACTACTGGCTAACAGCACGAAGCCCATACAAACTTTGAGCTACTGAATACTCTCCACTGGATGGAGTCATGCCTAGCACAAAGGAAGATGGCTGCATTTCTTGGAAACCAACCATATTAGTCCCAGGGTATCTCTGCAGAAGTTCTTCCAGGTAGAGTCCTCGACCTAACAAACTTCAGCTGCTTCACCAAAAATCTTCCCTCCATCAATAACATCAGAAGCGTGAGGGTTCACTGATGATTGCAGTGTGGATTTGCTCCTGTGCAGATACTGCAGCAAAACACGCTCGTTTGCAGCAAGATGTTTTTCGTTTGCCATCCTTCAGCTACTTTGATCAACTCAATGTGATATCATGAAATTGGAGACTGCAAAGGCTATGGGTCCTGCCAATATTCCAGCAATCGTACAGTCAACTTGTGCTCCAGAATTTGCCATAACCCTCGCCAAGCCATTCCAGTACAGTTACAGCATTGGCATCTGACTGACAATATAGAAAATTGCCCAGGTATGTCCTGTACACAAAAAAGCAGGATAAATCCAACCCAGACAATTACCGCCCCATCAGTCTACTCACAATTGTTGGCAAAGTGATGGAAGTTGTCATCAACAGTGCTATCAATCTAGCATCTGCTCAGCAATGACCTGCTGACTGACACCCAGTTTGGATTCAAATCACAGCTTTGGTTCAAGCATTGACTAAAGAATTGAATTCCTCAGGTGAGGTGAGAGTGACAGCCCTTAACATGAAGGCCACATTGAACCCTAGCAAACTGGAACCAGTGAGAATCAGGAGGTACAAAAACGGAAGTTTCTGGAAAAGCTCAACAGGTCTGGCAGCATCTGTGAAGAAAATATCAGAGTTAACGTTTCAGATCAGAAGAAGGATCACCGGACCCGAAACGTTAACTCTGATTTTTTTCGCCATAGATGCTGCCAGACCTGCTGAGCTTTTCCAGCAACTTCTGTTTTTGTTCCTGATTTACAGCATCTGCAGTTCTTTCGGTTTTTATTTGAATCGGCAAGCAAACTGGTTTGGAATCATCCACTGATTGAAATCATGGACTGTAGCAGTTTAAGGCAGCAGCTCACCACAAACTTCTCCAGAACAGCCAGGGACGTAGAATAAAGGCTGCTCCAACCAGAGTCACCCACATCCCATGAGCGAATAAAAAGAAAATAGGCTTTCGTCACTAAATGACAAGTGCCATTCATTCCATACATGTGACAGACAATAAACATCCCCAACAAGACAGAATCTCATAATCTCCCTGTGACCATCTTGGCATTGCCATCACTGAACCCCCACCAACAAGGTGCAGGGAGTTACTGTCCACCAAAAACTTATTAACTGGAAGTGCCATGTGGCTGCAAAATAGGACAGATGCTAGCAATTTTGTGGCGACCTGGCTTCCCAAACCTGTCCACCATCTAGAAGGCATAAATCAGGATTGTGACAGAATATTTGTCTGAACAAGTGAGGCTCCAACAACGCTCAAAAACTCATCGCCATCCAGCACAAAGCAGCCCACCAGATTAACACTCCATCATCACTTTTGCCCTCACTTCTCTACACCACCAGCACATAATGGCAGCTGTGTGTATCATCTATGAGATGTACTGCAGCAACTCATCAAGGCTCATTCTGAAATCATGACTGCTACCACTTAGAAAGACAACAGCAGACCCATGGGAACATCACCCAACTGCCAGTTCCTCTCCAAACCACACACCACCCTGACTTGAAATTAAATCACTATATCTCTTCCTAACTGTACTGAGAATGTGCTTCCACCACATTGGCAGCAGCAGTTAAAAATGTGGATCTCCATCCCCTTCTTAAGGGCAATTATAGATTGGCAACAAATGCAAGCTTTGCCAGAGACATGCATATCCCACAATCTTTTTTTTAATGAATAATACATGTAGAAATATATGGGATTTAGAAAGTATGTGCCGGAAAAACTCTGCAGTTCTAATAACACCTGTGGAGAGAGGAACAGAGTTAATGTTTCTTGTTGAAAATTACGTTTCTTCAGAACTAGACACACAAATGGGTTTGATTGAAAGGTCATTACGGAGGTGACATTGTGGATTGATTATACTGGACATGCTAGGATATTCAACTTTTATAAGAGGCAAACAAAATGGAAAAAGGAAAAAGAAGCATTTTTGTACTGTTCACTGGAGGGAATCAAGCAGTTCCTTCTGCAAATTGAATCCAGATTTGTGAGGTGATAACGTTTTCCATGATTTGGGAAAAACTTGAAGCTGCAAGTGCTTTAGTAACGGTAAAGGATCGCTCCCATGCAGAATAACGTGAAGATCGCTGGTTTGAATATTCGTGGACAGCAGTATGTACTGGCTCACTGTTGTTTGCCATATTATTGTGACACGCTTTTCTTTGTACTACGAATGATTACAGGCTAGTGGAGTGTCAGCAGAAATCCAATGGGCCGAGTGGCCACCTTCTGTCATGTAAATGTCTATTATTTAATAGAAATAAAGCAAATCAAGATTTTAAAAAAAGATATTAGCGCCAAACATTTCATTTCGTATTGTTATAGTAACTGTGAAACGTCTCGGCGGGAATGAATAGAAATTGGGTGATTAAACAGTTAAGGAACATATTTCATCAAAGCCGGACACAGCACTTCTGGCAGCTTATAGTAACTCCATCCAAAAGAGAAACAAACGAGGTTTCAAGTTTCCACGAAAGGACAGCAGATTCCCATTTCCTACGCCCTGTCCCTGCCTGGCACTCAGTAGAAAGCATGGGTAACAAATCTTTGCCCGTTTTGCCCTCTCGGACTGTTGCTGCTGCCTCCTCAATGAGCATTCCAGCTTTGGCTGGCTCCCATCACAGCGAAAGCATGGGGCACAGAAATCCACCCCGTAAGGGACCAGGGAAGACACAGCGCCAGGTTTACAAAGTCAGAGCCCGGGGAGCGACTCCCCCCGGGGGGACGCCTGAGCTCCTCTGGATAAAAAAAAAAGGACCCCAAAAAAACCCCCACAGCCGGGGCAAAGACTCCCCCCCTCAAACTGGCCAAGGAGGTGGTTAGTAATGGTCAGGCTGGAAGGAACAAAACAAAAAGTCTTGGGGGG